GGCTCGGGGAGGCTGCAGGCCCCGCCCGCCGGCCGCCCAAGCTCTTCCCCTTTTCTCTCCACCCCCTTGCTCCATCCCGCACGCCCTGCAGGGAAACCAGACCGGTTTGCAGCAGCTGCGGCGGCGGGAGCCTCCGCCGCAGTCCGATTGGGTGCCGAGTCCTTTCATAGGGACGCGGCTCAGTGTCCCGGGTGCCCAGGACGGAGTGCCCAGGACGGAGAGCCCTGAACGGAGAGCAGGGGCAGCAGGAGCCCCTGGCTTTAGCCGATCCCTCCAAGTCTCCAGAGCTAGCCGGGACCTCCCCCGCGGCTCTCAGAATGCTGCGTCCGTGCTAAACAGGCTGTTTGGGATAGGGCTTCCCCCTGCCCCAGGCCGTTGAACTCTGCAACGCCAAGGGACAGGCTAGGATGCCAAGGCGACGGTGTCTCCCCTTCTAAGGACAGCAGGTGTGCCCAGGAAATAAGACCTACTTGACAGGTAGGGAAGAGTTGGCGAGGGGGTCCTAGCGGAGAGGAGAGGAGGCTGGAGGGGCGTGAAGCGCATGTGGGCTGCGATGGGGTTGGGGATCCAATCCGACTGAGAGCGCTGAGTGGGCGTGGGGGCATCTGCTGTCAGTCACTCTAGCAGCTACAGAAAGGGCAGATCTAAAGAACTCTCCTAGGGAAAAAATGCCGTCATGGCAGCTGTAGCTAAATGTACTCAATAGGAACCGAAAAGGTAGCGATCTCTCCCAGATGAACCGAAAGCAAGGGGTATTTCTAGCCCTCATTACTTCCTTCCACTTCACTCTTGCTTGGTGTGGCTCACGTTGGAGCACCGTCCCCACGGGTCGCGGGTTCGATTCTGGTCAGGACACAAACCCAGGTTGTGGGTTCGATTCCCATCAGGCGCGTGAGGGAGGCAAAGGATCATCTATGTTCTCTTTACACATCACACCAACATTTCTCTCTCCCTCTCCCGTCCTCTCTCAAACAACAACTACAAACCACTGGTGGAAAACGTGGGATGGATACATTCTACCTGAGGAATGCCCAACAATTCATAGTCCTTATCGTCAGAATCGCTGACTTGGTGAGCTACCATCACTTTCTGTTTAAAAGGATACTCCCCCAAATTCTCAGCAAGTGAAACCCCTCTTTTCAGTTCTGAAATCTTTTTATACTTCCCCCTACTCCCCCCCCCCCCCCCCACACACACACATTGAGGAAGTGTGTTATGGTTTAATATCAGCTCAGAATGGAGATCAATAATTCCTTGGCAACACAAATAACCCACATTCTTAGACTTTTTCCAGCTTACTTCTTCCAATGTGTCTGGCATTTTAGGGCATCACTTGGTTAGGACCTGTAAAGTGTGCCTGGCTTTATCCTGGCATCCTAACCCTTCAAAGCTCAGAGCAGCCACACACTTCTAGTCCAGGTGGCTGATTTTGCAGAAGAGAAAACGAACACCCAAAGATATTAAGCGATTCAAGGGCCAAAACCCAGGTTCCTTGATTCCCAATTCCTGAGCAAGAAATAAACACCGGATTAATAAAGTTCAGTTAGGACTCGATAGAGGGGGCAGTGGAGGAAAGAGGAGCAGATCAAAAGAACCTTTATCGGCCTGGTGTGAATCACTGTGTAGGGGGCAGCAGCACACCGCTAAGCAGCAGGCAGGCGGGGCTCGGGGGAATGGTAATCCCAGTCTCCCCTTCTCTCTCCTCAGACTCCGCTCTGAAATCCCAGGAGAGGAAAATGAATCTGCTTCCCAGAGAGGAAAGTAAAAATGCAACGTCAGTTCTCAGTGTCTCCTGGGAATGCAGGAGGCGTGAACACAGGTAAAGTTAAATTTAAATCACAGGGGATCAGAGATGGTCACGCACATTATGTACAAATGCACACACACATGTGTGCACACAGCCCTTGTTTCCCATGAAGAGCCTGAGCGCTTCCTTTCTGTAAAGCACAGATCGATGCCATCAGCCTTCAGTTTCCAGAGAGACGTCACCAAGCAGACCGACCACTGGCTACTCAGAGAGCTCACTCCATGAGACTGACTCTAAGCAACTATTCCAAGAGTCTTAAAATCATCATTACAGTGAATTAATTAATGGAACAAGGAACCACATAGTGTGAAACCTGATATTTCTTCCCTATTCTCTCTAAATCTATTAACAAGAATTTGGGAAAGTCACCCTCTATTGGAAGTAAACCAAGATCAATATCACTAGCAGTAATGACTTGGCAAGAAAATCTGGAAACATTTTAACAATCAGAAAATGCTCACCTAATTGTTTTACTTAATTTCAAATATAATTTCTCCAGTGTTTCCAGATCTTAGTCCAAAATCTTAATAATGCTATTCAATACTCCCCGATAAGGAATAAGCCTAGATTCCTGGTAGTAGATTTGGTAGCATTAATGGCCCTAAGTAATGACCTCCCTTATCCAGGTCCTTTTCCTCTGACTTTGTAATCCCTTTATGCTGTGAACATAAAACTACTTTAAAAAAAAAAAAAAAAAAAAAAGTCCAGCCTCGCCGGCGGGGCTCAGTTGTTAAGCATCGACCTATGAACTAGGTGGTCACGGTTCGATTCCTGGTCAGGGCATATGGCCAGGTTGCAGGTTGTGTGGTGAGTGCAGGAGGCAGCTGATCAATTATTCCCTCTCATCATTGATGTTTCTCTCTCTCTCTCTCCCTCTCCCTTCCTCTCTGAAATCAATAAAAAAAAACACATATTTTTAAAAGATATAAAAAAAGAGAAAGTCCTTTTTTTTTTTTTCCCCGCCCTGAGAAAGTCCTTTTTTTTAAAAATGTTTGTGCATTTCTGCTTCTCTCCTTAGAATCCTGCCATCACCATGAGAACAAGCCCAATGGAGGATGAAAGGCCCCATGGGGCAAAGCTGAGTCATCACTGCTGAGGCCATCCTTGACCAGACAGCCCTCAGGTGACTGCAGGGGCACAAGCAAGTCCAAATGAGATCGGCCAGGCTTGGTCCAGATCAGCAGAACCACCCACCCAACTGACATATTCACTGGAAATAATACATTGTTACTATTTCAAGTCACCACTTGTTTATCTATTGCTGCATAACCACCACCCCAAAACTAGTAGCTGAGACCACCACCATTTACTATTTTTCATAATTCTCTGAGTCAACTGGACCCAGCTGGGCACTGGCCAGAGTCACTCACTTGGCATCTGAGCAGGAAGGTCTGAGAAGTCTTCATTCACACATCAGGCATCTCAGTCTGCCGCCGCATGACCTCTGCCTTTCCAGGTCACAGGGTTGGGCTTCCTTACAGCACGTGGTCCTTTCAGCAAGATGGCCAGACTTCTTACCTGGCAGCTGGCTTCCAGGGGGGAATGGACACTGCCAGTCTTCTTAAGGACTGAGCTCGGGAGTTCTAGAACACCCACTTCATTCTATTGGACAAAGCAGTCACAAGACCAACCAGACTTAACAGGAGAGGAAATAGACTCACACATTTGGTTTGAGGCAAAGCATGTGTGTATAAGAATAAAAGGGCCTTATCACAGCCATTTTGGGGAGACTATCTCGCCTACTAAGTTTTGGGGGGGTGGTTATACCCTATTAGCTACATTCTTCTAAGCTATGGGACCTTGGGCTAGTTATAAAACCTTTCTGGACCTTTCAATGAAGTGAGGGAGGTTGAGTTTCTGTATTTAACTTTTTCTTTAGTGATGTCTCCAGGGCAAACTGAAGTCCCATACTATCCAGAAAGGAGTTGCCAGGGGGAATTTGTGGAGCATTGGTCAGCTATGGGTACTTCTAGTAGGTCACCTGTATCTATTCTTCAACTAGACACAATCCTCAAGAATCCACATGAAAGGCATGCATTGTGGCGGCTCCAAGCAGCTTGGGTGGTGGGAGAAGGAGCAGGGGCCGGGCAGCCCAGGCTCGCAAAGGCACCCAGCAAGCACTGGCCCAGCAGCCACCCTCCCCAAGAGGATGGTCAGCACCACACCACTGAGGGGGCGGTGAAGAGATCCATGGGTTGTCAGCTATACCTGCTCCTGCAAAAGTGGAAATGAAGAAAGAAAAAAAAAAGGCAGCAGGAAAGGATAAATCTGCAGACAAAAAAGTACAAACAAAGGGAATAGGGGAAAAACAGGCTGAAGTGGCTGGCCAAGAACTTAAAGATCTACCTGCGGGAAATGGAGAAACTAAAAATGAGGAGAATCTAGCTTCAGGTGAAGCAGAAGAGAAAGAAGCCAAGTCTGATTAGTATCATATTAATCATATTAATCATATTATAAGACATATAATACCATGTCTTATCAGTGGTCCCTGTCTCCCTTCCTGTACAATCCAGAGGAATATTTTTATCAACTATTTTGTAGTGTAAATGCTTTTTTTAAAAGAGGAAATCATTTGCTGATTGTTTTTTTTTGTGTGTGGGTGTGTGTGTTTTTTTTGTTTGTTTTTTTTTTTTTGATATAACCAGAAAATATTGGGATGTTGAATATGGGAGGCTTTGATTATCTTAACATTCCATAAGTGGGGGTCATTGTTATATCCTATAATACAAAGCATACTAAATGGCAATATGGCATCAGTTGTGCATTTAATATGTCTTGAACATTTTAAATTACGTCTATTCCCATGTTGTTGGCAGTATTGTTTTCTAAAGAAAACCCCTCCTCGATCTTGGCTCTCCCTGTCAGAATTTTGTGCATCTGTAACATCTTTGGTGAGGCAGTCGACATTAAAAAAAAAAAAAAAAAAAAAAGTCCAGCCTCGCCGGCGGGGCTCAGTTGTTAAGCATCGACCTATGAACTAGGTGGTCACGGTTCGATTCCTGGTCAGGGCATATGGCCAGGTTGCAGGTTGTGTGGTGAGTGCAGGAGGCAGCTGATCAATTATTCCCTCTCATCATTGATGTTTCTCTCTCTCTCTCTCCCTCTCCCTTCCTCTCTGAAATCAATAAAAAAAAACACATATTTTTAAAAGATATAAAAAAAGAGAAAGTCCTTTTTTTTTTTTTCCCCGCCCTGAGAAAGTCCTTTTTTTTAAAAATGTTTGTGCATTTCTGCTTCTCTCCTTAGAATCCTGCCATCACCATGAGAACAAGCCCAATGGAGGATGAAAGGCCCCATGGGGCAAAGCTGAGTCATCACTGCTGAGGCCATCCTTGACCAGACAGCCCTCAGGTGACTGCAGGGGCACAAGCAAGTCCAAATGAGATCGGCCAGGCTTGGTCCAGATCAGCAGAACCACCCACCCAACTGACATATTCACTGGAAATAATACATTGTTACTATTTCAAGTCACCACTTGTTTATCTATTGCTGCATAACCACCACCCCAAAACTAGTAGCTGAGACCACCACCATTTACTATTTTTCATAATTCTCTGAGTCAACTGGACCCAGCTGGGCACTGGCCAGAGTCACTCACTTGGCATCTGAGCAGGAAGGTCTGAGAAGTCTTCATTCACACATCAGGCATCTCAGTCTGCCGCCGCATGACCTCTGCCTTTCCAGGTCACAGGGTTGGGCTTCCTTACAGCACGTGGTCCTTTCAGCAAGATGGCCAGACTTCTTACCTGGCAGCTGGCTTCCAGGGGGGAATGGACACTGCCAGTCTTCTTAAGGACTGAGCTCGGGAGTTCTAGAACACCCACTTCATTCTATTGGACAAAGCAGTCACAAGACCAACCAGACTTAACAGGAGAGGAAATAGACTCACACATTTGGTTTGAGGCAAAGCATGTGTGTATAAGAATAAAAGGGCCTTATCACAGCCATTTTGGGGAGACTATCTCGCCTACTAAGTTTTGGGGGGGTGGTTATACCCTATTAGCTACATTCTTCTAAGCTATGGGACCTTGGGCTAGTTATAAAACCTTTCTGGACCTTTCAATGAAGTGAGGGAGGTTGAGTTTCTGTATTTAACTTTTTCTTTAGTGATGTCTCCAGGGCAAACTGAAGTCCCATACTATCCAGAAAGGAGTTGCCAGGGGGAATTTGTGGAGCATTGGTCAGCTATGGGTACTTCTAGTAGGTCACCTGTATCTATTCTTCAACTAGACACAATCCTCAAGAATCCACATGAAAGGCATGCATTGTGGCGGCTCCAAGCAGCTTGGGTGGTGGGAGAAGGAGCAGGGGCCGGGCAGCCCAGGCTCGCAAAGGCACCCAGCAAGCACTGGCCCAGCAGCCACCCTCCCCAAGAGGATGGTCAGCACCACACCACTGAGGGGGCGGTGAAGAGATCCATGGGTTGTCAGCTATACCTGCTCCTGCAAAAGTGGAAATGAAGAAAGAAAAAAAAAAGGCAGCAGGAAAGGATAAATCTGCAGACAAAAAAGTACAAACAAAGGGAATAGGGGAAAAACAGGCTGAAGTGGCTGGCCAAGAACTTAAAGATCTACCTGCGGGAAATGGAGAAACTAAAAATGAGGAGAATCTAGCTTCAGGTGAAGCAGAAGAGAAAGAAGCCAAGTCTGATTAGTATCATATTAATCATATTAATCATATTATAAGACATATAATACCATGTCTTATCAGTGGTCCCTGTCTCCCTTCCTATACAATCCAGAGGAATATTTTTATCAACTATTTTGTAGTGTAAATGCTTTTTTTAAAAGAGGAAATCATTTGCTGATTGTTTTTTTTTGTGTGTGGGTGTGTGTGTTCTTTTTGTTTGTTTTTTTTTTTTTGATATAACCAGAAAATATTGGGATGTTGAATATGGGAGGCTTTGATTATCTTAACATTCCATAAGTGGGGGTCATTGTTATATCCTATAATACAAAGCATACTAAATGGCAATATGGCATCAGTTGTGCATTTAATATGTCTTGAACATTTTAAATTACGTCTATTCCCATGTTGTTGGCAGTATTGTTTTCTAAAGAAAACCCCTCCTCGATCTTGGCTCTCCCTGTCAGAATTTTGTGCATCTGTAACATCTTTGGTGAGGCAGTCGTTTCCCTGGTAACTTTGTTAATGTGCTGTGAAAGATGGAAGATTTCATCATGTAGCTTATATGATATTACATTGCAAATTAGTGGGACTTTGATGTTATAGCACATCAACATTTGAAGATCTAGGCACTTGATACTTCGTTAAGGAAATTTAGCCTCCACACTTTAAGCTGAAAATTCACCAGAATAACTATTTAGAAAAAAATCACAACTACGTAACTTTAAGTTTTTGGTACGTATGTTAAGAATTGTGTACAAATGGAAATGCCTGTGTACTTATCCTCAAAACAATTGATAAAATGTCAGTTATGAAAGAAAAAAAAGAAAGACATCATTGCCTCCACAGACGTGAACCAGGAAGGAGAGGCTGCGTTCTTCACAGCCCCCGAATGACCATCTTCCATCACACTGTCTTCTCTTCCTGGAAACTGGATTTCCAAGCAGACACGGAAAGCCACTGCTTAGCTGCCTCCCCTGTGTGCCTCTAATACCCCTATACACATCTGAAATGAGATGCTCACTTCAGGGGACTCAGTGTTCTCTGATTTCAGTTTTGCTCTTCAGGTTAGCAAAGGCTTGAAACCCTCATCCTAATGCCTTCCCTGTACCATCTTCCTTTCCTCTAGCTTTGCTTTTCTTTTCTACTGCACCTTTTCTCTCTTAATTGTTAAAAAAAAGAATTAAAAGAGAAAGAGAGAGAGAAACGTCAATGAGAGAGATACATCGATTGGCTGCCGCTTGCATGCCCCCCGCTGGGGACCCAGCCCACAATCTGGGCACGTGCCCTGACCAGGAATTGAACTGGGAACTTCTTGGTTCATGGGTTGATGCTCAACCACTGAGCCACACCGGCTGGGCTCTCTTAATCCTATTCATTTCTTTGTTCCTCCTTCCTCTCAGGATTGGAAAGAGCACTGAGCTAGAAATGCTAAGACCTGCTTTCCCACCCCACCTCTGTCCCTGCAACAGTGAAGTCCGTATTCTCTCTCAGCTTCAGAATCCTCGGATTCAGATTCCTGTCCATATCATGAGGGTGTTAGGTGAGATGCACTGAAGAGTCATAAACCTAACAGACTATGACTCTTAAACCCCCCTTTTGACACATACAGTAGCAAAACTTGGAGGAGGTTGAATATTAAGGCCTCAGAACCCCTTAGAAGAGGTGTACACGCATCTCAACCTTTCTCAAACAATTCCCAATACCTAAGTACTTTTTGCTAAGTTTTTCATTTTTCAGTTAGAAAACATGCAACTCTACCAGCTACAAGCCCCACTTAACTCATCATTTTTTTGTCCAGAGGTTGGTGTCATTCTAGCTCTCAAGACTAGCTCATTCTTCAGCCAGAAACTATGACATCTGGATGCCCAATGTTAGCAGGCTTTCAGCTCTGACCCTAAAAATCTTCTCTAATATACCTGGAATTCATCTACAAAATACAAAAAAGAACTTTAAAAAAAGGTTTCCCTAACAAATTCACCAAAATATAAAATTATATGCATTGAGATGATAATTATGGGGGAAAAAAGAGGCACATGAACAACTCCTGAAGGAAAACAATTAAAAATTAAAGTTCTTATGCCAGGGTGGGGAAATTCTAAGATTTAAAAACGTTTCCGCGCTGGCCGGTTTGGCTCAGTGGATAGAGCGTCGGCCTGCGGACTGAAGGGTCCCAGGTTCGATTCCGGTCAAGTGCATGTACCTTGGTTTCGGGCACATCCCCAGTGGGGAGTGTGTAGGAGGCGGCTGATCAATGTTTCTGACTCTCTATCCCTCTCCCTTCCTCTCTGCAAAAAATCAATAAAATATATTAAAAAATAAAATAAAAACGTTTCAATGTTGTGTTGTTTTCACACTTAAAAATGTATATGCTATTAAAACTTCTAATTTCCACTAGCCTCTACAATGTTTTCTGTTGAGTTCAGTTACTCCTTTACTCTTCAACATTTTTTTCTTGTTAGAAACAGACTCACATACATACCTTTTCTAGGTGAATTTTCACTTTGCCCAGAAATTATTTTTTTAAAAAAACAATATAAACTCAATAGTATTTTGTTTGAAGAATGAACAAGAAGTGAGAGAATATCAGAACAGAGGGGAGGAAGAAGGGAACAAGTAGAGAGTTGTTAGTATAGCACAAAGAAGCAAGCTTTATTTCAGAAAGCATCCTAAAGACATTAAAATATAGACACACGGTTTTTATAGCAAGTCTGACCGTGGGTGTTAAGGAACCTGAAAGTCAAGGTCTTCCTATGAGAGAAAGCAAGCCCCTTTTGTTTGGAGAGGCTGTTTTTAAAGCTTGATGTAGGTGAAGGAGGCAGAAATGAGTCAGCAATGTTCCTCAAATCAAAAACTGCAAAATCCA